CGCCGAGAAAATGTCACAGATCGGAACTAGAACCCATTCCCCTCCTTGTGCATGGTACGACTACTAACCGAATGACCCGGATGAAATCATACAGCGCAGACTCTTACAAAGACACAGTATATTTAGAAAAAACAATAACAAATACCGACTAGCTCTCTTTCTGAACTTTACTATACTTTTATGGATTGTCCCAGAACCTATAAATAAAGACTTCGCTTTATTTCGTTTTTTTCTAACTTTCACATACTGATCCACTTTGGAGGACTTGGCTGTCAACGACTACCTTTATAAATAACTTCTTTAACCTTTCTGTTCTTGTTCCTCAAACGTTCCAGAGTTTGTATTTGTATTCTGCTGGGTTCACGATCACGTCTAAATACACGATAATGCTTTTGCAGATGCTGCTTTACACGATTAATATTGCCGGACAGCTCATTTGATATTGCATGGCTCTCGATAGGTTCACTCAGAAATGTACGCTCGCATATTGATCTCTAGTAGTCTTTCATAAAACGCTCAAAAGCGGTGTGTGCATTTGTATGTCGTTTGAGTAGAGAAGAAATCATAGTATTTAACCTTCCTTTTAAGGACGAAGCTTGAAATAAATCCATCATTTTTTTTTTAACTATGTGTGTGCTCTCTAATCGTACGCAAGCGCAGAGACAATAAGAAGGGACGCATGCGTTTTTAGGGCCCAGACAGCGATTTGTGACTGAACGCTGAAAAAAATAACGAAGGCCTTTTTTAATCTTGGGCTCCCGTTTGGACGCTCAAGTAATAACAAGATAATTCGGCTTTATCAAAGATTTGAGTGACAAGTTTGCATGACAATCTTGAACTTCGTAACGTAACGCCACGTGAAAGAAACTTGTATGTGACATTAACATAATTACGTGACATTTTGAGTTCCGTCACATAATCCATCGTCCACCGTCTATCGTCTATCATTTACCGTCGATCGTCCATCGTCCTGGTTCTGGTGCATGCCTTTTTTTAAAACGCTAAAGAAACATTCCACATCATCCAGAGGAATTTGTGTGACACATTTCATTTGGCTTTACGCGAACAATGATCTGCACTCCGATTTACGTTTGCCGATCTCAGATTCTGTGTCATATGTTGGTAATGCAAAGATTACCCGGCAGCTATGTTAAGGAAGGACAGATAGGAAATGAGACGCATTTGTATGTCAACTACTCCCTAGTTTGCGTTAATAAAACTGCGAACGAACGAATTAACTTTTGGTGCGGACGAACCGACTTTTTCCGGCGATACGACTTTGAGATTGGGCGAAACGCACTTCAGGCAAACCAGAGCAACCTTTTGTTTACGTTCTTATACTCTGCTCATATTGCTTAGTATTCCGAAAATTTCTGGAATGCTCTGACGTGTTCCTCGATTTAGGAAGGCAGGAAGGCTAATACATCGATGAAAAAGCGAAAGTTTAAGCAATTCCAATGAGTAGATGGTGGCGTAATCTCCTTGGGAAAAAGCCGAAGAGTTATTCGTATACACCAGGTAATACAACGGACTACTCTGAAGCGAAGCTTATTTGTTACGACGTGTTTAATATATTCATCACCTTTTCTTCCTGCATAGCAAGTTTCCTTTCAAAGGTAGGAACAAAGATGGTATTTGGACATTTTCATGGCAACTTATGAAGAGGTTTACTCAAAATTCTTCCCTCAGTGTAACGACTAGCTCAAGGTGATGGATAACGATCGTCAAGTTATAACTTAACTTAATAGTTTCATCGTGAATCCCATGGCTTCGAAGCTATAATAAATACTCCCGAATCTAGTTGGGCTGTTGATCAGGAGTACACCACCTTGTCTACAAACCAAACAAACCACAAACAGATTCCGTACAGCAACGGAAAGATTTTCATTCGCGGCGTTCATTTCACCTTCCGCAGCTTTGGAGTAAGTTGATTTCTAGAAAGCTCTCTTTGCAAGGCTTTTCTTCGCTCTTAAGGAGGTTATTACATGGCGAATTTCAGACATGGCTGAAATTTTAGTCTAGTGAGGTGGGCTGAAATATTGTGGCAATTACATGACAAATTTCAAACCGGGCTGAAATATTAGCCTGGGTGCTCAATAAAGATTTTGCACATAGAGTCAACAAAAACTCAAAATGACTCATTTTAATTTCCTGTAGTGATATTTATATTACATTACGGAATCGCGCCCATTGAAAAACGTCGCACGGGAAAATGCAAATAAGCTAGAAAAGAGAAAGAGAGCATGCGTAACTTCATGCAGGCCTTTCAATCTGACTGTCAATCATGTAATCCCCCGTGTGTGCTGTGTTTGCAGGTATTGTTTCTTGCTCAGACAACCGAAACGTAACCCTATTCATCCAAGAAGAATAGCCGTAATCCTAATTAGGCGATATTGTTTAAAAATTGATCAGATGTAAAATTATTTACTCAAGCCGAGAGATTTTTTTTTTTAAAACTTTACCAAAATCTCAAAAATTTAAGCTAGAGAAGGATTCTCTGCTTATAGCTGAGTGTTTTTCCAAACATAATTTTTTCCAAACAGCAAACTGAAAGGAAACATTGATATATATTCGCTATAAGCCTAGATATTGCATGCAGAAATGAACAACAAAACATGTTAAAGATGGTTGGTCATTGACTTTATTTATGTGGTGGCTTCCAAAGGAGCGATTTTTTGTTTTCAGCGCGTAATAAATACGGCTTACTGTTCGTGCTCAGTGTCGGCGTCGAATTCATCGTCCATCTTCTCCTCATCCGCTAGTTCTGCTGTTTTTTTCCGTGTAGATTGCTTCATCTTCCATGCCGTCTAGAGTGTTAGAGATTCTGCAGGTTTTGAACAGTGTATGGATCTCGCGAAAGTGTTTTAAGAATTTCGAAAGTGACCCACGATTGGTAAACAAACTCGTCACATATTACGGTGTTGAAATCTGGTAGTTACTAAAACAAGGAATTACCTGGAAAGAGCTGGAATGAGAGGGATGAGCTGGAATGACCAAGAATGACCAAGAATGACCCAAGAATGATCCATAAAAATGATTTTCGATTGAATTTGTGTCCATATACCTGATTTTAACTTGCTTAACAAACTCTTTACGTCCTTCCGCCCATTTTCTCACTCAGTTCGAAAAGGCTGATGGAATATTAGCTACAGGAAGCCCGATAAAATATTTCTAATGCAAATGACCTCATGGGGCAGAATACAATGCATCAGGGGATAGGATATTTCCCGCCAAATCTCCAGCATCATGGCGGAAGAGTTTGATCTCTTGCTCTTAGGAGGTAAGATTATTAACTAATATATATCTTTTTGTTGACTACTTACATAAATTGTGAACTCAGTAACATCACTTAATAAACTTGAAAACAAATGCAGAATAAGATACAATGAAATATATGAAGTTCATATATTTTGTACTGCGGTATTAGATACATATGATGCACGATCCTCGCAGTAGATAGCGCTATTTAAGCAATAGCGAAAATCAGACCTGAAAAAAATCAGGCCTGTACGGGATTCGAACCACTGACCTCTGCGATACTAGTGCAGCGCTCTACCAATTGAGCTAACAAGCCAACTGGGAGCAGGCCGTTAAGTTGATTCGTAATAAACCCGTGAAAGTGATAAATGAGATACAATGAAATATATGAAGTTCTTATATTTTGTACTGCGGTATTAGATACATATGATGCACGATCCTCGCACGATCCTCGCAGTAGATTTTCGCTATTGCTTAAATAGCGCTATCTACTGTGAGGATCGTGCATCATATGTATCTATGCACGCATCATATGTATCATATGCACGATTCTCGCACGATCCTCACAGTAGATTTTCGCTATTGCTTAAATAGCACTATCTACTGCGAGGATCGTGCATCATATGTATCTAATACCGCAGTACAAAATATATGAACTTCATATATTTCATTGTATCTCATTTATCACTTTCACGGGTTTATTACGAATCAACTTAACGGCCTGCTCCCAGTTGGCTTGTTAGCTCAATTGGTAGAGCGCTGCACTAGTATCGCAGAGGTCAGTGGTTCGAATCCCGTACAAGCCTGATTTTTTTTTTTTCAGGTCTGATTTTCGCTATTGCTTAAATAGCGCTATCTACTGCGAGGATCGTGCATCATATGTAAATGCAGAATAGTTCATGTGAAAGCTAACTGGAGTACATTTTCGGCAAAAACTTCGGAAATTCCAGTTCATTTCTTAATAAAATCCACGAATACTCACGCCATTCCACGTCACGATTTTCCACTAGGATTCAACTCGGCCGCCATCGTGAAATAGTATTGTAACGGGCTTCCTGTGGCTACTACCCCATCAACCTTTTCCAACTGAGTGAGAAAATGGCGGCAGGACATATAAAGACTTTGTGTAATTAGCAAGTTAAAATCAAGTATATGAAGACAAATTCAATCGAAAATCATTTTTATGGATCATTCTTGGGTCATTCTTGGTCATTCTTGGTCATTCTTGGTCATTCTTGGTCATTCTTGGTCATTCCAGCTCGTTCTGGATCATTCCAGCTCATTCCGGCTCATTCCAGCTCTTTCCAGGTAATTCCTTGTTTTGGTAACTACTGTTGAAATCTGCGATCACGTAACAAGAAAACTTACCTTGGCTTCCCTGCTCTGTAAACTAGTCAAGTAATCTCTCTTAACTTCCAGCCGCGGATATTTTGGAGTGTAACGGCCCATCGTCGTGCGTTTCACTGACATCTTGAGCTCTCCATTAAAAGAGGTTATCTGATCTTCCAGCGGCGGACCATACACTTACTGTACTCTCTGGTTATCTCGGAATTCTTTTCGACGGCAATACTACATTGAAACACTTTTCTGTTTCGAAACTTCCGCGTTCATTTCAGTTCTTTCGAGAATGGAATTCTCTGAATATGGTCTCGGCTTATAGCCGAGTATTTTTAATTCACATGTTTTAAGAACCTTCCCGATTAAAACAGACCGAAGTTTATAAGGGTCTCGTTTTCTTGCCG